AACTGGCAGTTGACTTCTGACTTCAAACTACCATGGCCCGTTCATTTGTCATATTCGACCCCTTCCACAGTATTCGTCTTACCTTTTTATGCCTTTGTGTCTATCTGTCTGTCTGTCTCTTTTATATCTTTGAAACACTCTTATGTTCCCCCCCCCTCTCGACTTTTTGTCACTTTGATGTTCCTTCTCCCCTCTGTGAAGCCCCGAAGTCAGCTCCAATGTGGAATAATAAAATTAATAATAATAATAATAATAATAACAGGATATTTCAAGTCTGCTTACCATCAATGATCTCTTCGGCTTGGCCAGTGCATAAATTGTTGAATTCGCCATCGGTGATAGTTGAGCCCTCTAATTGAATAGTTGGGAGGGATTTGACCTCATCCTTGTGACTGACCTCCTAAGTGCGGGGGGGGGGGGGAAGAAACAAGGAAAGGATTTAGTTAAAATACTCCAATAAAAGTGGGGGAGGAGCGGCAGATGTAGAATCTTACAAACCTCTATCCCTCCCTCTCTCTCTCTCACATAAACGGTGAGAGCATGATCATTCAAACAATCGGTGTCTGTGGAATCCAAACTTCTATTGACTTTTATTGACTAGAATATGAGTGACTTCCGAAATAGTGATATAGTCTGAGTAAGTCTGGATCAACCAAACTCAAATCCAATTTTCTAATTGAGATAATGCAACATGCACAGCTCAAATCTCAAAAGTTTTGTTCCTATAAAACTCAGATACATTCTCCACAACATGATATTCCAGATTTAATAGCCTTTAAAGGAACTAGCTATTCCGTAATCAAAAGTTAGTGGTGATATTTTAGCACCCAGAAGTGCAGTTTATCCCAATTTATCCCCCCCCCCCCCAGAAAAAGCTCACTTTAAACGGAAATAGCGAAATATTCTCCTACCAAATCCAAGGCCAAATCGTCAAGTGAATCCGATTTTTCATTAACATAAGTCAACTGGGTGTGTGAAGCTTCCAGCATATTCATATTCGCGGAGTGTTGGGTTGAATTCTCTCGTGGTTGATGTTGTTGTAAATGTGGAGTTGGCGAAAGTTCAGGGAGAAATAGGCTGGTTTGACTGGGATTTTGAGGTATCGCATAACCCGAAATAGTTTGGAATCTGGAATCCGACTTTGTCCGCACTCTAGTTGGGGTTGGGAATTGAAGACCATGCAAAGTGTCAAGTGTGTCCTTCTCCAGAGAGTCTACCTCATCCCCAGCCGAGGTTTCTTTCGTTGAAGCCTACGGAGGAAATGCACGTAGATTAGTTGGAACAAAATAGCCAATTAAAGATGTTAGATGAAAAACTTGCAAATTTGGAGTTTTTTTAATAAGTTTAACCAACTTTAAAAAAGAAACTCCAGGAAAGCAGAAAGACTTTGACAACTTAGCCGACTGTAAGGAGTAAGTCTTCAAAATCTAAAATCGCATACTTCAAGGCCCCTTTCGAGATTACACTGGGCGATACGACTAATCTTAAAAGTTGCTACTAATTACGAATATAGTAGTAAAGAGTTAATTAACCAAAGAGGACTCGTATGAAATGGGTGTTGCTTGCTGACCAAACTATCCAAGTGGCTTGAATTGAACGAGGGAAAGCATCCTGAAACCACCGGTCTTATGATAGAACCCACACAACTGCCTAACTTCCAAAATAATTTAGTTTTCTAGCACGCAACATTGGTAGAGAGGCATCAATATATATATGGATTCGGTCAGACTTATTCAGCATTGGTTAACCGTTCATTGTGTGCGCATGACAGACTCCTTTTTTGAGTGGATTGCGATTGGGCGCCAATCCAGTGACCTCTGGTCGCAAGAGTGAAGGAATGAAATGAAATCAAAAACAACAAAAAATGGAGCCATATCATTTATCATGTGATATGCTAACCAAACCACTTTTCAATTTACCCACTCAACACTTCATGTGACGTTAGTTAACTCCGCAAAGCAGGATGTACTTTTGATAAAATTGATCCAAACTCCACTCATATCCAAAAAAATACCGCAAAGAAGGAGGGGAGGGGAGGAGGAACAAGTGTGGCCTCAATTTCCTGAAATGATTCCCTTCTCTTCTCAATGCATAAATGTATATATATATGTATATATATATCCTGAAATTCGCCTCAGTAAGCAAGGCCACGAACATGAGACATTTATCGAAAATTCCGAGCGTTTGTAACCAAATTTGACAGAGGGGGGTG